CATTAAGATGAATATGCATAATTTGATAAAGCTTATTACGTAAATATGACATTTTTATTAATAAAAAATATTGAAATAAATGTATCATTTAAATGAACAAACTTTTTACAATAAACGACCTTTTTTTTATACCTGTCTTGAAAATTCTACAATCAATTGAGTTTTCAAAGGGACCGCACAAGTAACATTACCATGGATCATCACATTCAGCAACAAATTATTATTATTTTACTTCTTGCACTAAACGTTTTTATGATCAATGATTGGTAAAAGGGGCAACAGGGATTGCTGAAGTTGGTGCTTCGTCAGAATATTTTCGATAATCTGCAGCATTTGCCTCTTGTTTAACGGCGTTTTTTTTTTTTTTTTTTTATTTTACGCTTTTTTATTTTTCATTTTTTATTTTTATTTTTTTTTATTTTTGACGAATAGTAAAAGAACCGCACAAATATTGACTGCAATGTTTATTTCAATTGATTCTAATAAATGAGCACCATTACGATCACTAATTAATCACATCGAAGATGATGCTTGAGAAAATTTCAATTACGTCATAAATTGCATATTCGAATTCTCAATAAAAATTTTATGTAAATATAATTTTGTTTGAGTACCATTGCGATCACTTGCTAATCACATCGAGAATGACGCTTGAGAGCACCCATAATTTAATCAAATTAAATCCGATTAGTCAGTTATATTAATTCGGTTAAATTCGATTAATCGGTTATAATTATAACCGATTAATCGGGTTAATCCGGATAAATATAACCGGTTAATCACGATTAATCGGTTATAATTATAACCGATTAATCGGATTAACCCGAATTAATATAATCGATTAAATTCGATTATGATAAATAAATCATTAGCAATCGATTCCAATAACTAATTCGCGTTAGAAAGCTGTGAAGAAACTTGTCGTATAAAGCAAATATAATAAATTAATTGCAAGTTTAAATAGATTAAGAAATTCGAAAAATACTTTCAGATTTATCACATATCGCTGCATGCCAATTGTCCGATTGCAATCGATTGTACTTAATTGTGATTGTATGCCATAGGAAGACTTTCGTATGATTGAATGTTTAAGTCTATTTAATTTTACATTATTTATACAGTTAAAATACTTTTTAAAAAAAATCAAACTACGAAGAATAAACAAAAAAGAGGTATATAAAAAGGTTTATTAGGGTTGTAGGACTTCATCATTAAAAATAAAATCATTTTTGATTTTAGAGAAGTTAACATAATAGCAACTTCTTAAATAAATAATGTAAAATTAAATAGACTTAAACAGCCAATCATACTTCCTAGGATTATATGCGATTTCTCAGCAACCATCTGATCAACGGTGATTAAAGTGGCACAGAATGGGTGTGTCGCCGGCTGTATACACTGTATTCGCTATTTACTTTGTATCGCGCCTTTAATGGATATTAGCGTAATAAGGATAATCAGTGAGTTCATGGGGATAATTAGGATAATCAATATAACCATTATAATTAGTATAAGTAATATAATTAATCACGAATAAGGTGTATAATATGTTCTAAGTAAATGAAAGTATTTAATAAAGGCATTTCGCCCTAGAGTAAATTAATCCTTTGTGATTAAAATAATCTGTCTACTAATAATTATATACTTTCCCTACACTATAACTGAATACGTACATCCAGATCTACTGCTTAAGTAATTGAAGTTCTTGTTTTCTTGCTCACGTGATAATCATAAAGTATACCGTTACCCTGTCCGGTTGATTTTTGATGTACTGAGAACTTCTGTGGTGATTGTTTTCCACCTCTCCCAACATACCGTGGATAGTTGTGGTTTTTGATTTGTTCTGTTTTGAAGTCCAAGTGGAAGGTTCAAGCCGTGGTTTTGTTACAGTGATAGTATATAGAAAAAATACAAGTGTTAGTACATGTATTAACAAATCCCTATGCAAGTAAAGAAAACATATCTACGACCTTATTCTCCACTTGCCAAATATAGCTGCTGCTTTCGACTAAGCCTGTTTGTAGATTACACAACATTCCAGATTTTGGAGCGACCGACTTGCCGTTTTACTCATGTCAAGAACTGCTAAAAGATCTTGCGTGCCATATGCCAACTGCTTAGGTTTGTGCCAGGATGCTACCCTGGCATGCCATTAAACCATGTGATAGATATACTTAATTTGGATTGGTCAGTTATCATATACTATAAAATGACCTTTCAAAATACTTTGGAGCATTGCTTCTAATTTTCTTTTCAGAATATAAGATTTTAATCCTCTGATTTGAGAAATATTCTCAATAAAAGATTTGATATTCTTAAGATTTTGCAGAAATTTACGAAAGGATATATAATAATCCTATGCTAATAATTCATCGTAATCATTGTAATTGACTTGATTTTGAAGCATCTCAACCTTGGATACAGCTTCAATGATACATCCACCTAACTTGTTACACATTCTTTTATTAAGTTGTATATTATCATAATAAGAACTATAAAAGGATTTAACTTGACAAGCTTCTTTGATTAGTGACAAAATATAGTCCCAAGTGATAGATTCTAATTCTGTTTAAGTACATAGTTGTATTTTGTTAGTAGGACCATCCAGTTGTACAACTATATCAGGCAAATTCTCCATATCAGAATGATATCTAAATGACGATTCCTCTGTAATCCAAAATTTTTGAATCCCTAGTAGGTATTTTATTTGTCATATTTTAAAATTTAATATTAAACCATTTGTTTCTTTGTTTCATCTGTTTCAGTTAATAATATCACTACAAACCTGTCGATGGAATATCTTTTTCTGTACAAATCAGGTTTTTATTAAAATTTTTAAGATCATTCAATATTTTTAAAATTTTAGATCTTAATGAAGAATCTGGACTCCAACATTCTTCATATATTTTGATATATTGCATGGGTATTCCTATTTCTCGCTTTTTACTTAGGCCTATACAAAGTTAATAAGTTAATCTATCATCATGTTTGTCATTAAATGGTGGGTGACAAGTGTAAATTTCTCACATAAGCATGCCAAAACTATAAATATCTGAAGCTTTTTCATGCATATTATTCGGTTTTCTGCTTAATAATATTGGATCAACATAAGCTTGTACTCCCCGAATTTTTAATTTCTTTTTTGGTTCTAGAAGAGATTTTGAAAAACCAAAATCTGCCAAAAGAGCTTTTCTATTATGAACCAAAATATTCTTTAAATGCTACAAAATTAATAAAAATTCATGTAATAATGATTATTAATATATGCATATGCATCACCTTGGTCTTTGCTAGCATATAATTAAGATGGTCATTTGGGTCATTTTGTTAGTAAAAACCATGTATATACAATGAAAGTTAAATTAAAATAACAACAGAAAATAATGAAAAACTTGCCAAATCTTTGTGTACGATTTCATTATTATGTAAAAATTGCAGTTCTTCGAAAATAGATATAATTATAGAAATTTTATCGCTTAATTTTAATATGTCTTGATTACTATGAAGATAATTTTTTAAAGTGCTATGGTTAGCATATTGCATAGCTAAAATATATTGTTGTCTTGTTAGATCTATAATTAAATTTGTTAAGAGATTATGGTCAGTTTTATTTTTCTTTTAATAGAATTTTTTTAGCTTTCCAATAAAATTTATATAATATGGTAGTCTTTTAATAACAACGCTATCTATAAATTTCAAAAGTATATTATTTCTTATTTTTAAATACACATAGTGATAATGAAATATCAGATAGTTATTATAATTTGTGTTTTATCTATTATTATTATAACAATATATCTGCAGAGATAGTTTACTGATCAACCCTGGGGTAGAATAGTTATACAGAAAAAATAACAGTTTGAGATTAGAATCGATGAATAATTCACCAAATATCGGTTAGCAATTTTTTTTAATCGAACACTTTACCTAGCATCGGTCATATCAACTTAAAAAATTAAATTCAGATATTACATAATACTCTGGTTTATATCTGTATATTTGTAACAGACAGAAAGAAAATTTGACTTTATAATTTGAAAAAAATTCACTAATGCTTGAAAAACTGAGAATTAAGACAAATGAAATTCATTGGTTCCCAATCTCTAGTTGTAGTAGCGTAACTAATCTACTCATTTATCAAATTTTATCTGTTTACAATCAAGTTAATTGTATATTAGAAGTCACGTTACTGCAACTTTTTTCTGTCATCCTGGCTACGATCGAATTTAAGTAATGACCGATAATTAATTTATATGCGCTCTAACAATATTTACCTTGAGATAATCTGAAGAATTGGATGATATTACTTTTATATCGCTCAGATATTCTCAATGCAGCCAACTGAAATATTATTAAATATGATTAATACGATTAACTTATTTACCACACTTTTTTTAATATTATTTTCAACAAACCTCATAGTCAAAATCCTTTAATTCTGTAGAAGTTTCACGTCTAACAAATTTTGCTGCTATATGTCGTCCTTTCCATATTCCCTTGTAAATGTCACCAAAACCTCCCTTCCATCCAAATTTTAAATCTTTCAAATCATCATATTTAATATCACAAATGGACACTATTTTACAATGTTCAACATCATGAACAGGTGCTGTATCACAATATTCAATTGGTTTCAAATAATTAGAATATTTAAATTTTTTGTTGCCTTGTGTAGATTGTACACTGGCATTACAAAGTTCTTCAGATTGCCTTTTTTTATTTTTCTGATTACTTTCAGAATTACCTAACATACTTTGTATAATATTAAAAATATAAAAATATACTTAATTCATAAACGTGTATGAACAAAAAGAGTGGAAATTATGTACCTTATGCAGAAAAAAATAAATGTAATAATGTAGACAAAAATTTGAAATTGAAATCTCAAAGAATGTACTTTGTTAAGTAAAAAAAATGATTAAGAAATTCTCAATTGCTTATATACTAATTCTTCTCGCATGTAACATCTTTTATATTATTGTCAATGTGACCTTGTAGCAACAAAGATTGTATCCCAAAGAAACAATTCCGAACCTTTTTACCTGATATGGTTCAGTTAAAGAGGAGTAACTTTAAAAACAATCATTCAAATTTATTAAAAAGTTCAGACCATCGCTATTGTTTGATCAAATTTCACATTTTGATTGGTCTAATATTTAAACACATTTCGTTTTTAACCTCCTGATATGGGACATAAAAGCCATGCGCAGTCATAAAACTTAATTAAAATTAGCAAATTCCTCTTCAAAAAGGATTTTTTCTATTAATCGATGTTTATGACCATCCAATCTAAAAATATATAGGTGCGAACAAGATCACACACAAATAGAGCTTCGAACCTATTTTTGACAGGCAATCCGGATTGAATCCGTATTAGATTACATATAAAGTTAGTTTTGTAGCAAATCTTTAGATAAGATAAATTTCGGATAATCGGATTAAGGATCGAAGCTTTACACACAAAATCTACACCATAGCGATAGATCGTCCTCCGCTACGCCCCGGACAATTATTTAAACTTTATATGTTTAATATTTGTAATAAAAATACCCTGATCCGTTGGGTATTAGCAGAAACTTCGTTTCCGCTTGTACACATACGGTCAGGGTATTTTTGCCAAATACCCCGTGATCTTGATATCGTGATCGGGTATTTCTAATATAATACCCCGATCACTATATCAAGATCACGGGAGTATTAATTAATAATACCCTGACCGTATGTGAATAAGCG